TAAAATCTTTAAAAATAAATAAATAAATAAATAAATAAATAAATAAATAAATAAATAAATAAATAAAAATAAAAATTTTCTAGCACACCAAGGTTTTTCACTCTAACTGCACTATAGGTAAATATGTGGACATGAATGCTGGGTTTGAGAAATAAGGTACAAATTTTTAAAAGTACATTTCCTGGAATACTAGAGCCACTGCCTATCCAAAACTCATTCTGCAATTCATAATGTGACAATATTTTCACCTTCTTGATTTAAAATCTCCCCATCACTAAAACAGAGTAGGTGTTTATCAATTCTCCCTCCTTTTACTTTGCACAAAAAAATAAAGAATTCTTGTCTGAATATGTGATTGTGTTCATCCATACTTGAGAGAAAGTAAAATCAAAGGCTTTTCAAAGCCTACTTTTGAATAGGAATCTAATTTTGTGTAACTTATAATTGCAAATTCCAAAACAAAGCTTGATGCACTTTATGAAAAGCTCCAATAATTTAATAATCCAGTAAAAAATAGCAGCAAATACCTTGCCACATAATTCTCCCTAATGATAAATATCACAGCAACTCAATTCAAGAAAAGGACATACTATTTGAGTTTTTGGTTTTTTCTTTTCCGCCTCACCGTGCTTCTTGTTCACTACTTCTTCCAGTTTTTTCTCATCCCAATTATCCATAGTATCTAAATAAAAAGAGATACGAAAACTAAATACTGTAATTTTATCTACTGTTCCCAAAACATATTGCGTATCTCCTTAGATAGGAAAGCTGTATCATAAGACTTATGACCTAACACATTTTCCTTAAATGACACCAAAGATAGGATGTGTTATGAAATTATTCACCAAAATCCCATGTAGTTTAGGGAAATGAGAAGGTAGTACTGGAAGAAAGGGTGAGACAAATCCAAAATAAGTAACTGGCTTTTATACATCCTCATTTACTTAATCAAAGGACATAATGGTGTCAATTCAGATTTTATGAAAAAGAATTTTTTTTTTTTTTTTTACAAACACAGCCTTCTTCCTAAGACCAAAATATTCTTCAAGTACTAAATATCTTAGTAACAACCAAAAGATATTTTTAAGAAAATGTCTTAAAAAAATACCTTTTTCAAGTTCTTCATCTCTTGCATCAATGTAAACACTTCGCTTTTCACACTTTCTCTCCAGAGTCAAGTCATGAGAGAACTTACACTTATCTCCTTTAGTACACTGTCCTTGCTTAAAGAATGCACACACCACGGATTTGGGATCTGCACCTATGTCAAATGGCACATGGTATTTGTATTACAATCGGCCAGATCACAAAGTATAGCTTCTATCTGAGATATAATTACCACTGGTGAACTTGTTGTTTTCCATTCACTGATGTGAAAGAAAAATACCACTTACAGGTGATTGTTAAGACATTTCTTTAAAGTTCCTTCTACAGCATTTTATATCTATTTTTATTTCTTTTATTCTTACCATTATTCCTTCCATCCTTACTCTTATTTCCAGGGACAAACCCATAGGTTATTCCATAGTAATTTGTCTAGTTTGAGTCAATGAGGCAGAGGCAAAAGAGAAATATAAATATACATGGAGATATACTGCCAAGAGTTTGGAACTTACAATTTATAGAATCATAGGTTTGTCTTGGCTATCACCAAAGAAGAGATATTATAAAATCAACTAGTAGACTGTCTAAATCCTTAATTTTGCCTTAAGTGGGGCGCTAGTGGCTGGAGTTATAGCTGTACAGTCATAGCTGAGCACATACATAGAGGAACCATAAGTAAGTCATTGATATAGTTTAATTTTGACTAAGGGATTATCATTTCCATAGCAGACACACTGGCTCATAATATGAAGAAAATATACATCAAAACAAATTGAGATTTTTTAAATTGAAGTGTAGTTGACATACAATGTTACATTAGTTTCAGGTGTACAACATAGTGATTCTACATGTCTATGTGTTATTCTGTGCTCACCACAAGTGTAGCTGCTGTCTGTCACCATGCATTGCTATTACAATACCACTGACTATACTCCCTATGCTGTACCTTTTTTTATCCTCACGACTTATTCATTCCATAACTGGAAGCCTGTATTTCCCACTCCCTTTCATCCATTTGCCCATCCCAGGCCCCCAACTCCCTCCCCTCTGGCAAACCATCAGTTTATTCTCTGTATTTATGGGTCTGTTTGTGCTTCTGTGTATTCACAAAACAAATTAAAAGGTTTTTAAACATGAATTACATTTGATAAAAATAATACTTCTGACATTTAAAGTTTACCTTTACTTATTTTTTGAGCAGCAACTACAGGTTTGAACAGCTCATTTAATTCTTGCAATTCTTTCTTCTTGTCATCTTTCTTCAATTTCTTTTCAGCTTCACTTTGTGCTACCTATAATATTCCCAGGTATAATATGTAAATTTGGTTTCATATAATAACATTGTTCTCATTATACAATAGTACATATAACATCACTGACATAACAAAAACGTTTGCACATTTATGTGTATATAGTCTGTACCTCTTAGTATCAGTGTTACAATGGCCTTTCAATACATATTAAATGGTGTGGTTAAACTATAAAATGAAACTGTGAAATCTTCTATCAGCTGACTTAAAAAAATTCATAAATGGTACCATGCCAAGTAAAAAGCATACTCAAAAGCTTATAGCAATAAGCATTTATTAAGCATTTGCTACATACCCAGCACTTTTAGTAAATGGTTCTCACCTGGGATTTTCTTCTTACGACAACCACCCACTCCCCAGAAACATGAGGGTGCCTTTTGAAGATCAGAAATGCAAACATCCGGAAATGCGCAGTCCCACACAATAAAGAACTATACCACCCAAAATACCTATTACCCTTGTGGAGAAACACTGACTAGGTCAATGTGGGAGATTAAACAAAACAAATATGACATATGACATAGTTCCAGGCACACAATTTACATACCTAATATGATTAGAGGATTCATCCAAACATTTATATGTCAGGTCCTATGTTACATGACAGGGAATACAAAGATGAAAAGATAAAGATGCTTATTTAAAGAAGCTCAGAATCTAGTGGGAAGACAGACATGTCAATAACTATAATATAATACATGGTTCTCTGGAAACAAGGAATGCCTATGAAAATTAGACTGAGCTAATACTTTATGGATGAATTTTTCTGATGGGTAAGAAAACGAGCCAGCCAATGCAAAGATACAGGTACCAGAAGGAACAAGGTATGAGAAACATCAATGAAAAGTTTGGACTGTATCAGTAGTGACAGGTAAAACTCCATGGTTTAAAGTAAGTCAATGACACAATCAGATTGTATTTTATAAAGATCACAATGGCAACTATATGAAAAATGGACTAGAATAGCAAGGAAAATTAACAGGCTAATGCAATTGCTGTGGGCAAGAAAACACAAGAGCTTAAAATAGGCATTAGTAGCAAGGATGAAGAAAAGGAGTGCGGAACAGCTCTTAAGGAGGTAGAACTGATAGTACCAAGTGACTGACTAGACATAAAGTATAAAAGACAGGGTGGGGTCTAGCATCATCCCATGTACGGTTAGTGCTGTTAAATAAGACAGGGTATACAGGAGTAACAGGTTTCAGGGTAGAAGGTGGAGATGAGCTCAGTTTTAGACGTACTGAGTACGAGATGCTTACAGAGCATCTGAATAGAGCTATTTAGAAGGCAAGTGGACAGGGATCTTGATACCTGGAGAGACAGTCTGCTTTAAAATAAAGATTTTAAAAATAGCTTACAGATTATAATTGATTAAAACTTTGAGTGTGTATGAGATTACTCAAGAACAGCATAAAGAAGTGATTAAAAAAAAAAGTGAAAAACAGAAGACAGTTCCTTGAAGAATACCAATATTAAATGAGCCAACACAACCTTAAAAAGCCCATAAAAGGGTCCAAGAAATATCAAAGATACAAGTAGAAATCCAGGACAAAAAAAGTACTTAAGGAAGGGGAAATTTTAGGAAGGGAATGGCCAAATGCTATAAGGTTAAAGACATCCCAAATCCTGACTTTGATCATATGGTAAATGTATTTAAATGGAAAAATGGGAAAACATTTTTTAAAAAGAAAAATTTAAGTCATTTTATCTATAATAAAAATATCCTTTGCTCATTAGGCTCATCTCAAACATTTATGGGCCCAGAGCAAGGATACAACAGAAGCCCATAAACCATTTCTGTAAATACCTGTAAGTGAGAAATCAAACTTATGCTAACTAAATAAAATATGGTTTGTACCCCTACTTAACAAATATACCTTATAACCTGGAAGGATGGGTTCAAATTCAAAATGCTCAGGATCCATGCAGTTCCACACTGGAGCACAGCAGTAAAACAAGAGTCAACTCCTGGCTCCTCTTCCCACCCTGAGTTTCATCCCACCATGTGTGTGCATGAAGGTGTAAAGTGTGGGGAAGGATATAGTATGGATGTCCACAGTCCGAGCACACACCCTTCTTTTTTTGTATATATGCTGTTGAAGTGAACACACAACCTTCCTTTGACTACTTCAGGCATATTGACAGTACAGTATACCCTAAGATAAATGTAGGTAACATGACCTTTGCAGGCCCTGAAGTATTATGGAGAGGGATGGTATAAATTCCCTTAACCTCACTGACTCCTTGCCTGTGGGAGAGCTATGTCTGCAGGAGACATAGAGTAGGGTCATCCTCTACAACACAGGGCCTAGAGTGGGGTACCTACTGCCTGGCTCTAACAGCAGGACTGCTGCTCATTTTGCAGATAAAAGCCCAAGTACCCAAGAAATTATCAAAAATTATAATACTGAATGTACCATCAATCCTAACCACACCACCACCACCACCACCAATTTTATGGCTTTCTCGGGTCTATGAAATATAAAATTACCAGTCAATATACTTCCCACTAGAAGAAAAAATAGGGAGAGGAGAACAGAATTGAAAAAAGGAGTAAGGGAAGAAAAGTAAATTCTTTTCACACACCTATATTCACAAGAAGATTCACATTATCTTCTCATTTAACCACCACAGGTACCTTACAAGGGTAATTGCCTTTCCACTGTATAGATAAGCGTCACTAAATAATTTAAGTTCATGTTACAAATAAGATGACTCCAAGATCTGAGCATATATTTTTATTAAACTAGGCTACTAAATTAGCAGCATGGAAGATCAATAGTTTTTGGCTCCAGAATCAAGCTGGGTGTAAGGAAAGAAAAATGTTGGAGGCACTAATCTGTAGACAATATGTATGAGAGAAGTTTGTTTCAGATTGGGGTCACAAATATACATTCTGATATTCTCAAATGAAAAAAAGTATTTCCAAAAGTTAAGGAAAAGGACAGAGTGGCAAAAAAAGTACTTTTTAAAATAAAGATACATGTATGTAAAATCTTAAACTCAAGAAAGTGAAAGATCTAAAGAACATGAAGAAAAGGAGCTAACTTTTTTGAATGCATTGCCAATGGGTAAAATAATTTCAAAATTCATATGGAAGGATAAATACCTAAGAAGAGCCAAGAAAAATATAAAAGAAGTAACATTTGAGGGAAAGAATTTCCCTTAATAGCTAACAAAATACGTTACTAGGCCACTATAATCAAAATCAATGGGATACTGGTTTAGGGACAGACAATAAATAGAACAGAAAAGAGAATCCAGGAATAGATCCTAACATATTTGAGACTACTATATGTCAACAGTGATATTTCAATTCGGTGGGATAAATGATGCTGGTATAAGTGGCTATTCATGTGAAAGAAAATTAACTTAGTGACATATAAATTTATGACAAATTATAGACTGTAAAAATAAAATAGAAATCTAGGAAAAACACACATAATCTAGTGGTGCAGGAGACTTTTTAACTATATTTAAAAAAACCTAGACAAATCTGACAATACATGAAAAATTGTACAGCAAATAAAACAGAAACATCACAAATTATCTGTAATGCACACAAAGGTGTCTCTCATAAACTGACAAGAAAAAGACAACCAGAAAAGCAAAGGATATGAATACACAAGTCAGAGAAGTATAAACCCAGACAGCCAACAACCATATGAAAAGATACTCAAAACAAAACAAAACAAAACAAAAACCCAAAAGATATTCAAACTCACTAGCAGTAAGGGAAACAAAGTAAAAAATGAGATCTCAATTTATACTTACCAGATTGAAAAACATTAAAAAGAATTTTAGTACCTATAACTCATGCACTGCAAATGAAAATGTGAAGGATTACAATCTCTACAGAAACTAATCTAATTTATTACAATTAGAGATCTGGGGCTCCTGGGTGGATCAGATGGTTAAGCATCAGACTCTTGATTTCCACTCAGGTAATGATCTCAGAGTCAGGAGATCGAGCCCTGCATTAGCTCCGAGCTAATTGGATTCTCCCCGCCCCTCCCAACTGGCGCTCTCACACACTCTCTCTTTAAAAAACAAATAAATAAAAAAGAAATCCGTTTCCCTTGATCTAGAAATGTGTCACAATTTATGCCAGAGATAAAAGCAAAAATGCCTGTTAAGAACCCATGTACGAGGACATTTCTTGTAGAATTGTTCTAATGTCAGAAAGCTAGAAATGAAGTGATCACTTATACTGAAATGGATGGATATAGTACATCCACATTGTAGATAGTATGAAGCCATCAGAATAAACTAGAGCTATATCAAAATGGCTTGGAGGAATATCTAAGACATAATGCTGAGTAACAAAAGCAAGATGCAGAAAAGTTTTAGAGTAGGATTCCATTTTGAAATACAATTACCATACCAAATACTTCTATCTGTAACAGATGCCTTATTACATCCGTATGAAGAAAATGCAGAAATTTTAAGTTATTTACCTGACGTGGATTTTGCTGACCAAACTTAACCTGATGAGTGACAGCCTTAATAAACTTTTGTTGCTTTGCTCCTTTCTTATTCTTTAGACCAAAAGTTTTGTCCTGAATGAAAAAGAGTATAGAAATATCTTAGCAATTTATATTAATTTCTTATCTATTTTTTTCAGTCATATCTAAAAATCACTCTTTATTTACTTACTGGTAAGAAAACTATTCTTTCTTATGCTATGTAAACATGCAAAACACTAAAACATCAAGTCAAACCAACATATGACCCAGATCCTTTACAATTAAATACATACTTACAACTATTGTTACTAAACCTGTTACTCTATGATGCTTTTTCCAAAGTGTGTTTCAGAATATAAATTATACAGGATGTGCAAAGTTGTAAGACAGGACAAGATGACCTACAGTCAAGTAAGTTTAGGTAAATGCTTGGCTAACATTGTTTTTAATTTTTAAGCATAAGATATCTTAGAGTCTTTACTAGAAGGGATGGAGTATTATAGCAATTCTAAATCTTTTTTTACTTCAGAATGCATTCTTCTTAGAGTACCCTAAGGGATTATGTACTATCAAACACATTTTGGGGAATACTGCATAAGATACAGTACTGCACTGTTTTTTTGTAAGAGAATTATCTTCTCAAAACAATTAAAAAAAATTTTTAAAGATTTATTTAAGGGTGCCTGGGTGGCTCAGTCAGTTGGACTCTGTTGTTCTACTAAGCCAGTTACCAATTTATCCATACACTATCAATCTTTGTAGATTGAGATTCAAATAGATGTTTAATTTTATCCTTTTTAAAAATTTATTTTTTTTAGTAAGCTCCATGCCCAATATGGGGGTTGAACTCATGACCTCGTGATCAAGAGCTGCATGCTTGGGGCACCTGGGTGACTCAGCTGGTTAAGCATCTGCCTTCGGCTCAGGTCATGATACCAGGGTCCTGGGATCGAGTCCCACATCAGGCCTTGCTCAGCAGGGAGCCTACTTCTCCCTCTGCCTGCTGTTCCCCCTGATTGTGCACTCGCTCTCTCTCTGACAAATAAATAAAATCAAAAAAAAAAAAAAAAAAAGTTGCATGCTCTACCAACTGAGCCAACTAGCTGCCCCTAGATGTTTAATTTTAAAATGGGAGTTTGCATCTTTCTCATTCTCTTGTTTATGGGTGGGTCTGAGAAAGGAAAAAGAGGCAAAAAGGTTATACTTTCAAAAGGAACCTGAGACCTCTGAAAAGAATTTAGTCTGAAATAAACTGACTATTTTAAAGCCTTAATTTTGGTATTATTTCTGAGGGAAAGGGACAAGGTAATAGGAAGAAAGTTTTATAGCTACAGAATACCTATGTGGACCCGTTGGAAATGAAAAACAGTATTGATATTAGTATATGAAAACATCCAACATGACATAACTTTACAGAATCTCAAAATCAATAAAATGGATCTTTCAATTTTCTTAACACTTGCAAAGTTGAAGACAGTTTTAGTTCTAGAAGGTTCTCACTGGGTAGTACCTTTTTATTCATTCATCACATCTATGTCCATTCATATACCAAAATTTCACTTTCTCCTATTTAAATTTCTATCCTGTTTTAATATACCATATTTTAAAATTCTACATGAATTTTCTATAATCTACACATGTATAAAAAGTAGGATGTACATACATGTTGAACTTGAGTTTTTTATGGCTGGTGTCCCTTGTTTTTATAGGTAAGAGAGTTTAACATTCAATTCAGTAAGAAGAAAGGATGGTCAAGTATAATGTGATATATGAAGAGAAATGAGCCCATGCAGCAACCGGGTGTGAAATGCCACTTTCCTTTTACAAAAAGTGCATTCTCATGGGAGGCGGGAGAGATGGTTGATCTGGAATACCAACAACAGCTGCTGAAAATAGGATGTTTTACAATTGGAATACTTCAAAAGGGCTTTCTCCCTTTTTCTTGAATTTAGGATAAACACTTACGTGAAGATTAACCTGGATTTGGGGGTGGGGAAATGAGACAGGAAGACTGGAGGTTACAATCAAACCCATATCGTGCTTAAAATAAAACTGGGAAATAGTAGTCCTCATTGGATCAATAAGGTCCCAAAGATTAGGTTATAAGGAAGGAATAATGTGTGTGTGTATGTTTCAGATTTGGGAAACTGAATACAAAGGAGTTTAGAAAACATGTATTTTTCTTTTTTTTTTTTAAAGGATGGCTCCCTGAAGCTCCAAGAGCCCTAACATTCAGTGAACTTCAGACTTCACATAAAACTGACCCTTTCGGGACGCCTGGGTGGCTCAGTCGGTTGGGCGTCTGCCTTCGGCTCAGGTCATGATCTCAGGGTCTTGGGATCGAGTCCCGCATCGGGCTCCCTGCTCACCAGGGAGTCTGTTTCTCCCTCTCCCTCTGTCTCTTCCCCCTGCTCATGCTCTCTCTCTCAAATAAATAAATAAAATCTTTAAAAAAAAAGAAAAACAAAAAACAACAAAAAAAACTGACCGTTTCTTTCCCTTCCCATCCCATTAAGTAATCATGCTTCTTTTTACAGCCAGCCTCCACTCCTTAAATAAGATGTCTGAGAAAAAAAAGGGGCGGGGGGATTGGGAGAGCAGGTCAATACTGAATAGTACTCCAGGACAACCAGAGACTACCTTTTGGGAAACTAGGGTAAGCAGAAGCTAAGCACTGTTTTATTTCGTTAGTCGTGTCTGCCTTCCCCCGTCCACCACATGCACTATCTAATGTATTTTTGTTCTCCACTCATGCAATGGATGTTCTACAGCTGGTTAATCTAACTTCAAGTAATCAACAATTGACCTTAACTAAAGTTTTTCATTGGCAACCAATCATCTCTCTTTCTCCATCCTTTACACATCTGGATTCCACCTCTATAGGTGTCTTTTTTTTTTTTTTTAAGATTTTATTTATTTATTTGAGAGAGAGAGAGCATGAGGGCGGGAGGGTCAGAGGGAGAAGCAGACTCCCCGCTGAGCAGGGAGCCTGATGCGGGACCCGATTCCGGGACTCCAGGATCATGACCTGAGCCGAAGGCAGTTGCTTAACCAACTGAGCCACCCAGGCGCCCTCTATAGGTGTCTTATTACCATTTTCTTGCTGCTACAAGTCCTTAGCTGGACATCCTTTATTTGCACGTCCTACAACCCAAGGATTGTTTCTCTTTCCATAATCAAATCTATTTCTCAAAGTTGACTTCAGTTTATTAAATGTAAGCTATAAGAAAGCAAATGGTATATGCCACTTGGGACAATTGCATAAATGTCTAACAGAACCATAACATCTTTTAATATACTCATTTCAGAAAGAAAATACCTATTAATCCAAATCAATTAATAAATTTTAGAAGGTTTAAAGAGGGAAAGAAAAAATGTAGGCAACAGAAGGAAATTACTTCAAGTGACAGAAAGTAAACCCTATACTGACAGCACAGATAAGTCTGGTTATTTCCACTAACTAGTTCTTTTTTTTATAATAAATAATAGCAGCTGCCATTTATTAACTATATATATGTCAAGTATCTTATATATGTCATCTCATTTAACCCACAGCTCTGTAATATAGGAATCAGCTCCATTTTGCTGATAAGAAGTACATCAGTCTTTGCTCCCAGCTCCTCAATCAATTTTCATCTTAACCCCATGCACTCACTAGCCATCAAGACATGCTAGGGTTTTGGGGAAGTAAAAAAAAAAAAAAAAAAAGCCACCTACAATATTTAACAAAGAGGAATATATTGTTTCCTAACCAGGCTGAGTAACAGAATTTTCTCTATAAATCTCATTTCACCCAAATGATAAAACTTAACATTAAATTCATAGTATTGTTGTACCTCTGCGAGCAAATATCCATGCAAGACACTTGAGTCTACAAAACCTTACTACCATAAAAAAAAAAAAAAAAAGATGCCCATCATATATAATAAATGCGGGGGGCAGGCTAATATCACCACTGTTAGGGTATTTTTAGTCAGTTAAAGAATGCAGCTGTCTTATTTTGCATTTTTCTTAGGCTAAGTCTTCATTAATGAATCTAAGATTGCTTTCTCTTTACCTTAAGAATAACTGTGTACAAGATGAATGAAGCCATTATATACCTACACTTTTAGTTGATAAACACTATCAATGACTTTCATGTACAACTCCTTAAAACAAAAGTCATACTCCTACCAATTAAAAAATAAAATAACTGCATATAGTTAAAGTTCAATAATACAGGAGATATATTTTGTCAGATAACATTTAATTTCATGTCTATAAGGAAATTTCACTTGGTATCATGTTAATTCAATCTTAGTAAAAGAAACTGACAAGTAAAATGTGATCCCTAAAATGTAAATCTCTGGTTTACATAGCACTGAATGCTATGAGATCACCATTCCCAGAGATCTACTTAAGTGCCAGTAGTCCAGATTGTTCAAAAAGGTGACAGTAGACACACATGTGAAGAAGACAGTAATTTGCTTTTAAAGTTCTGGCTATGCTGCTTCATCACAGTTTTAAATAGTACAAATTGGCAATAAGAATACAGGTTCTTGGGAGCGGGGACCTGACTGCCTCAGTCAGTTAAGCATAGGACTCTTGACCTCAGCTCAGGCCTTGATTTCAGGTCTTGAGGTCAAGCCTCAAGTTGGGCTCCAAGGAGGGAGGGAGGGAGGGAGGAAGGAAGGAAAGAAAAGAAAATTAAGAAAAGGAAAAAAAGAATACAGATTCTGCTTCAGAGTTGGAACTTGGCAAACATTACTAGAATTCTTTATAAGCATATTAAACCAGCAGACTTTAAAAATTATGTAAAAATCGACAAAGACAAGTTCCCATTAGGTTTATACTATGAAGCCCTGAGGGCTTTCATTGCTGTTTTTCAAGGCTGTAAATATCAAATACTAAAAACAGTAATCATTTAGGTATGCCTGGGTGGCTCAGTCAGTTAAGCGTCTGCCTTCGTTTCAGGTCATGATCCCAGGATCCTGGGATCGAGCCCCTCATCTCCTTGCTCAGCGAGGAGCCTGCTTCTCCCTCTGCCGCTCCCCCTGCTTGTGTCCTCGCTCTCTCTCTCTGACAAATAAATAAAATCTTTGAAAAACAAAACCAGTAATCATTTATAAATAAACTCATTTCAAAACACCCAACATGCATTTTGGTCGAGTTCTAATAAAAAGCGACAATTCCACAAAGGCTGTGCATTATTCAGGTATACCAGAAGCAGGAAAACCGTCATGGCTTTTTCCAATTACATCCAAAGAAAACGAAGAACTGTTTAAAAGTCACTGATGATGGTTCACTTTCTTAGGAAACTCACTGGTGCAGTCATTGGAAGGCAAATATAACACATTCAAGAACGTCAATAGTGTTCCTCGGCCATGAAGAGCTATAGGCTCAATACACTAAATGAATATATACCAAATTCGGGTACGGCACTTAACACAGCTAGTGACACTGAAACAATCTCTTTTAAAGCAGAGTCGATGTAATTCACAATGTATATTTATCAAGAGCTACGTACAAAACGGTGAGCTGCGACCTTAAAGAAATCTCCACTCTCTATGGAACTTGTAATGGATCGAAAAACCCACGAAGTGGTAATTTGTTGACTCGAAAGAACTCCTCCTCCTAAGCGATGGGTAAAAATGGAACACAAAGGCTCGTCACGAGCCGACCCCCCAGAAAGAATCTGGCCTGAGCCCATTCAGCGTACTTTTTAAAAACACCAATCTAGAAATGTCTTCAATTTTAAGTACTAGCGAAGGTCAAAACCCTGAAGCGGGCAGGGGAGCGGGGTGCCCTTTCCCACCTGGGTGGGTGAAGGCGGGCGTGTGGGCGGAGAAGCAAAGGCTGGGCACGGGGGCGCCAGCAGCGTCACTATAGCAATGAGAGGCAGGGAGCGTCATCACGGGCCTGGGGAAAGGGCAGTGGGCCACAGAGCCAGAGGTGGACACGTCGTCCCGGAAGACGCGAGCAGGAGCCGTGGAGCGGGGAACCAGGAGGCTGCTTCCCTGAGGGCTCGCAGCATGAGTGGGGGAGGGAGCGGGTACTCACTTCAATAATCTTCTCCTTCTTTTTCTGCTCCGCCTTTTTGCTGCCCCCGGCCTGAGCCTGTTTCTTGGGGGGCATTGCGGAGACAGGTGGCACCGGCCAGACTTTAGCGCAGCTGGACACCGTCAGGGTATCTGGCCCTGCGGCAGGAAAAAGAGGACACGGGCCTCCGTCGCCGCCGCACGGCACGGAAAGCGAGGCACTCACTCACCGCCGAAACGCGGCCTTTGCGACAGGTCGGTGTCGCAGAGCATTGTGGGTAGCGAGGAGCGGCGCCCGGAAGCGGAGCTGCGCGTGCGCTTCTGCGGCGGCCGACCAGGAGGGGGCAGGGTAGGGACGTGGGAAAATGACTTGGCATCGCTTGTGATGTCGCTCATCCACCAGGTCCTTTCTAGGTTGTGTCAGGCTTCAGGATCAATGAGGCGAGTTGGTTGGCGCCCGTTGCGCTTTGGACCACCCTTCACGTGTTTTTTTGCTGAGAATGGGCGATTCTTTTGTCCTGCGTGCTCGGTTAATGTTTGCACTTACCATCCCCATCCTGAATGATCTCGAGCAGCCGCCGCAACTCAGGGCTGCTTGGAGGGTCACGGTACTCAGTTAACTTTCTTCTCATGCACGGATGGATCAGGGCTGGTGAAAACAGCATGCTTCGGGTTCCTGCGAAGCTTTATTAAGACATGGAAAAAGTTTCATTTGAAGGACGCCAGGGGTGGCTGCCCAGAGAAGGGGGAACTTGAACTCTTATGATGTACAATACTTAAAGTTATTTTCAGATTTTAGGAAAGTGTCTGGATGATTCCTAAAAACCCATTTATAATGTGAAATTAACCAAACCTAGTTTGGGGGTGGAGAGTACAACTCAACAACTTTCATAAAGTTCTTGAAAGTCTGAAAACTACTTAGCACATTACACACATTATTTCATTTAGTTATCACAAGGACTTTGAGGTAGGAATTGTTACTATTTGCATTTTATAGATGAAGCACAGAGAGAAAGAAACATGCCCAAGGTTATGTTAAAGGCTGAGCCAGGGATTTCAACTTTGGCAGTCTCATTCCTATCTACATTCCTATCACTAATATTACAAAAGTCTAAATTCCTGTAACTAATATTACAATAATGGTCCTGCTTATAAAAGAATGTGAATGAATGGTTGGCACCTGTTAATATTTCTACAAACCAAAGTACTATTTTTTAAAAAATGTAATGCTTTGCTGTTATTTTTGTTCCATGATTGTTATTTAAACTGTTTCTGCTAGGAAGTATTATAGGGCCCAGAGTCATCTTTATAGCTAAAAGTTTTAAATATTTTTCACTAATTTGCATAAGGAGAGAACTAAGAGTCCCTTTAATTAGTGCAATTGATTATTTGAGTAGTAGCTTTTTACATAAGAGATAATGCCAAGGAATCCCAAGTATGGGTGTGTGTGCTGGTGTGTGTTTGTATATACAGATCTTCCTGAACTTATGATAGGGTTATGTCCTGATAAGTTGAAAATATCATTAAGTCGAAATGAAATTAATATATTTAATCTACTGAGCATCATAGCTTAGCCTAGCCTACCTTAAACATGCTCAGAACACATTAGCTTACAGTTGGGCAAAATCATCTAATGTAAAGACTGTTTTATAATGAAGTATTGAATAGCTTATGCAATTTATTGAATGTTGTACTGAGAGCAAAAAGCAGAATAGCAGTATGGGTAAAGAATGGTTATGGGTCTGTTGGTTGTTTACCCTCGTGATCATGTGGCTGACTAGGAGCTGTGGTTGCTGCTTCTGCCCAGCATCAGGAGAGAGTATCTTATCACATACCAATAGCCTGGGAAAAAATTTGAAGTATGGTTTCTACCGAATGCATATTACCTTTGTATCATTGGAAAGTCAAGAAATTATAAGTCAAACCTTCATAAGTCAGGGACTGTCTGTATACACACTCATGAAACTTTCTTTGTCTGGACTCCTGTCCCAGGTTGATGGACTACCCTGTCTTTTACTTACTTATTTACTTCCTTGTTAATCTTTTGTTGTTTTTGTAGTTGTTCTTGTTAGAGCACAGAGGAACCCAGCCTGCTTCCCCCTTTACTCAGTTTTATAATCAATTTGATTCTTTGGGGATCCTCTCCTTTAAGAGGGATGGAATGTAGTTGCCTTAATTGTTTCTTTTTAGTGCTTTCAAAAATACACTTTGGGTCCTTTGTTTTTTGAAGAATTTTACTGGCAATCATTCTTATGAATCTGATGAGTATTAAGTAACAAATATGGGGAAAATACGCAGAATCTAGAATTTCATAAATTATAATAGTATCGCCAGGTTCCTAATTTTTAACTACCTTCTGCCTTTCACATTTGCTTTTGTTTCTGCCCTGAAGTTGTGATTTATGTAGTGGAAGAAGATTCTCCCTGGCCTCAGGTGAAAAATAAACATTTCTAAACATGGTATCTTCTCTGATAGCCCTCTCCCTCTCATAGTCATTTCTTCATCGATTAGAAATCTGACTCACTGAATTTACTGTTTTCTGAAATAAGGTAATTGCTAGTTTGCAATCTCTGATAGAAAATGGCAACAGGGGGAGGAATTATATACCTTCTACTCTACTTCTTCATAATTCAAACTAAACTCCCACAAAACAAAGTTGAAAGTTGTAGTCCAGGGGTTACCAATTCAAATACCCAGAAGGCAGGGATATAAATTTGGGTGTGAAGATGAGTGAAATACATTAGGGAATAATGGGACCAGGGCCAAGCCTGAAGTAAATGCCCACCGTTAAAGAGCTAAAAAAAAAAAAAAGAAGAAGCCAAACCCGCCTGGCTGATTTGATGCACAGGCTGTGAATTTACTGCCTTGGATACCATTCCCAAAACTTTACATCTTTAGAAGACATCAGAATATGTTTTTCGAGCCTGAGTCACTAGGATGTAGGAGAGTTGGTATGGAAGTAGTTGTTGTTGTGGTGGTTGTTGTGCTTGTTGTCATTGTTACCCAACATCTAAAGGTTCTTCCTGACCATAGTTAATGATACTGTATTATATACTTGAAAATTGCTAAGAGAATAGATCTTAAAAGTTCTTTCACACATACAAAAGAAACTATGTGACATGATGGATGTGTTAACTCACTTTATCATAGTAATCATTTTGCAATATATACATATATCAAATCATGTTGTATACCTTAAACTTACAGTGTTATATGTTACTTAAGTATCAATAAAAATGGGGGGAAGAAAAAGAAAGGGGTAGAGATCCAAGATCCAAGGGGTAGAGATCCAAGACCAAAAACAAAGCAAACTAAGGTCCTCCCTGTGTGTGTGAGTGTGTGTGTGTGTGTGTGAGAGAGAGAGAGAGAGAGAGAAAGAGAAATTACCCATTATGTTAAAATTCCCACTTTACAAGCTAAATGGGGGCAAGTTTCTCCTTTTCCCTTATCCCACACAATCAGATCCTGGATACATAATTTGGGGCAGGGCAGGCAGATTCCTCTGTTCTGTACCCACCTACACCTAAGGCTTTTGTTCTCAAAGGAATGAGACAAGACTCAGGAAGAATTCTGGGGTTCTTAAGGGCATTACAGGGATTACAAGTCCAGTAGTGGTAGACCAGTGGCAGCATCTGCTCTAGACTTTAATTACGTTCTTTGCTATATCTCTTGCTGCTTTTGTTTTCCTAGCCTGATTTTCTAGGCTCCCCAAGATTCTGATTTATTAAGATTTCCAGGGTTCCTTAAATTCTGTGAGCAATATTTCCAATAAATTCACTTTTTACTTAAGTTGGGCTTGATTTTAGTGGTTTGCAATAAGGGCTCTGTAGTGGGATGAAATGTGCCCCCCCTTTATTCATGTATTAAAGCATTAATCTCAGTACCTCCAAATGTGAGAATGTGACTATATTTGGAGATAGGGCTTTTCAGGAGCTGATTAAGTTAAAATGAGGCGATTAGGGTTGGCTCTAAACAAATCTAACTGGTATTCTTATAAGATGATGAAATTTGGACACACACAGAGACATTAGAAATGCCTGCACTAAAAGAAAACATCACATGAGGATAGAGCAGGAAAGCAGCCTTCTGTAAGCCAAGGAGAGAGGCCCTAGAAGAAGCTAACACCTTGATCTTGGATTGTTAGCCTCCAGAATCATACAAATATAAGTTTCTGTTGATTAAGCCACCCATCTGTGATATTCTGTTATGGCAGCTCTAGCAAACTACTACAGCCCTGACTGATAAAGGACAAATCTCTGCTGTGGATGTTGCTATTACGGTGAGCAGAGGCAAGACTGCTAGCTTATCTAAATAAATTCTTGTCATAAAGACAAAACCAATCTGGTCATAGAAGTCACTGATTCATTTTATGAGTTGAGGCAGTATGTATTAGAAAGTATTTTGATTTAAATATAAATATTGGATTCTTCAAAATGCTTCTGACATGTAGGCAGTCTCCTTTAAGACATTTTTTTCTCTCCAAAATAATAAACTATTAAAAAAGATTTGCCAATGTTTCAATAGAGCATGTAAAATCTCTTTTAACTTGTCAGTTTGAGTTTCAATTCCATAAACCTTCACTTCAACCTACACTGACATAAAATTTTCTTAAATGGGTGACTTACATGGGTGACTTATCTGTTGCTATTTGAAATATTTCTTGGTGCCATTCTGATAATAGTTATTATGGCATTTGTCAAGATATCAAGATGTACAATTTCCAAATATTTTTTGCTTCATTGAAGTTAAAACCATTTCCCATCAATCATGTCATTTCCCTAGTAATAGTTTTCTGATGGTTTCCTATGCCCCTTTGAATTCAATACTAATGATTCTATTCTTTCCTCAGCCCAATAATGTCTACATTTTATCTGGTTATTTCAGTTTATACTCTCCATTTTAGGCCAACTTTTCCTATCCCCTCTGTACCCCACATACTAGACTCCACACTCTTTGAGTTTTTCATAAATAGCCTCATGTAAATAACAGAAACTGTCTACCTTTCACCTAGGTACCATAAATAGAAACTCTGATGAGTCATCTTGGATTCCTCCTTCAGCTTCCAAATCCAGTCAAGTCCTAATTACTCCACCTCTTTTTTTTTTTTTAAAGAGATTATTTTAGAGAAAGAGAGCTAGAGAGAGCGAGCAGGGAGGGGGGCAGGAGGGGCAGAGGAAGAGGGAGAGAAATCCTCAAGCAGACTCCACACTGAGCAGAGGAGCCTGATGCGGGGCTTGATCCCATGACCCTGAGATCATGACCTGAGCCAAAACCAAGAGTGGGCTGCTCAACAGACTGTGCCACCCAGGTGCCCCCTAATTACTCTACCTTTTAAGTATTTTTCAAATTATGCCCTTCCTAACTCACTACTTTATTTCCAGGTCATATCTCTTGCTTGAGCTATTGCAAAAAACTCATATTCTCAATTTCAATCTTTTTCCTCACATGTGTTCTTTAAAAGTTAGTATATTGGGGCACCTGGGTGGCTCAGTCCTTAAGCGTCTGCCTTCGGCTCAGGTCATGATCCCAGGGTCCTGGGATCGAGCCCCGCATTGGGGTCCCTGCTCTGTGGGAAGCCTGCTTCTCCCTCTCCCACTCCC